CTTCTTCACCCCGGCCTCTGGCCATCTCCCCCGAGTCCTACAGGCTGTGGAAAGTGGGAGGAGCCATCGCTTCTCATTGGCTTTCAGAGTGGCCTGCGCACGCCAAGAGCAGAGGCTGCCCAGAGGCAACCCCACGGCGGCTCCTCACACCGGTGCTGGACGGGCGTGTGCTGGGCCAGTCAGGGCAGTGCCACAGGCCGTCGGCCAGTCACACTCCTCTCCCGCACGCAACACAGACGTGCTACGGGGCACCGGACAGACCCAGACGCGCTGGTCACCGGGAGGCACAGGGACAGCTGCATGTGGCTCGTCATGAGCCCCCACAGTTGCCAGGGAAACGGCTGTGACATCAATAGCAGCCCCTCGATTAGGGGCTGATAACGCCAGGCTCACGCAGCAGCCGTTTGTTATTACATCTGTAGTTCCCTAACAGTCCTTCCGGCTAGTGTCACCCCAACCTGTCAATGGGGAGACAAGGGCAGGTTGAGGAGCCACGACAATGTGGGCACCACCATGCCAGGCTAGTGGGGGCAGGACTGAGGTCAACTGCATCTGTGTGGCCCTGTGAGGTCTCAGGAAGCATCTGTGGGGAGGTGGCCCCAGAATGGAGTAGCGGGAATCTCCACTCACCCCCCACCCCCACGCTTTCACTTTACAGCGGCGGAGGCTGCAACCGCATGGGGAGGCCTGTCCAAGGTCACGGGACCCAAGACACCCCCGTCCCTGCATGCTGCCTGCGGTCAGAGCTGCCCAGCAGAGCCCAAGGGGAGGGTAAGCAGCCCCTCGGCCTGCGGTGGCCCGGGCACCCAGCAGGTGCCGGGGAAGAGTGTGGACCCCACCTCAGGGTCAGCGGGTGACTCTGGGCTGGACCTGGACCAACCTGCCCTCTCGCCTGCCTAGAAGTGTCCAGGACTTTCTGGTGCTGACTGAGCATAACGTGAACAGCAGGCTCCAACCACAGCTTCTGTGGCTTCACGTGCATCCAGACAACCCACGTGAGACCACCACGGATAAGCGTGGCGATGAGCAGCTTTGTTTTCAGCTGTTAGCTCCCCACATGGAAACCCGGAGCTGGTGCAACGCCTGTTTCCGGATTCCTTCCCCTTCCGGCGGCGAGGCTGGCCGACGAGGCAGGAAACCGGCAGGAGC